GGGGTGGCGGCTTCTGTGGCGGACAAGCGAGATTGAGATGGTTTCAGGATGTGCAGAGAAGGTGTGCTGACACAGGTGCGAGAGACTAGTTGTAGAGGGTATGCTGAGGGGTAGAGATAGGCCGAAGAAGTACTGGACTGGGAGAGGTGATTAGATACGTTATGACACAACTTCATGTTACCGAAGACATGACTCTAGATAGGAAGGAGTGGATGTCGCGTATTAGGGTATAAGGATTGTAGCCGTAGTACTAGTCGTACCCTTATAGTTTTTGCCATTTATTGTGTTCTCGATTATCACATTATTTTCATATTTGTTAGTTTTCCTTTCTTGTAGACTTTGCAATGTGTTTTTTTTTATTAATGACTATGTTTTCTTCATTGTTTTCTTCTTTCTCTACTTGGGTTTGATTTACTTGAGCCGAGGGTCTTTTGAAAACAACCTCTCTATCTCTACGAGGTAGTGGTAAGGTTTGCGTACACTCTACCCTTTCCAAACCCCATTTAGAAGGATTTCACTGGGTATGTTGTTGTTGTATCATGTATGTATATAAAGCTGTATCTGGACCACATTTAAAAGATATAAACGTGCCTGAGCAAGCTAATAGAAGGGCCAGTTATACATTTGACCGATCAGCAGAAAATAATTACATTCACGAGCTAAATATACGACACATTATTTTGTACTATAATATATGTACATTATACACAAACTATTCAATATATATATACACATCAAATTTAAGAATCTTTACAAAGTATAGTATCACAATGCTGACCAGAATAATAATAGTATATATATATACACACTGATAAAATGAGTGACAAACCAAGTCATTAGAGACTTATTTTATATTTCATAGGCTTATGTGCTCTGCATTTACAACAATGTTGAGCACGTGTATGAATGTTTCAAACTATTTTATACAAACTTTAGTAAAGGAGGATCTCCATTTGGTTGTGGCTTCCATGTCTACAACTTCCACAATATGCATTGTCAACTTGCTTTGACTTCTTCCATTCTGCAGGCAGGCAAGAGCTAATAGTCAGTCCCACCGGCATCAAACAAAAAACAAAGTCTACGCAAAGAGATTTATTTTATAATGTGGTGTCCGTGCCAGCTTGGGCATGCCTCAGATAGTCCACCGAATACCTAGTACCTCCCACCAATGCAGTCATACAAATAGATATTTAGCGAGAATGAAAGACTTTTAATGGCAGGTTATGTTATGTTGTTAGAAATAAAATGACGCGAGGATAAGTCATGATCATACTTCCGTTGACATGAAAAAAGAGGATACAACCATCTAAAGTGCCTCCTCTAACACAGAGGCGTCAAGCATTTCACAATGAGTTATCTAAATTTACTTTTTATGCATAAAGAATGAGATATCTTATATATTTAGTCATGTATGACTTTGAAAAAACAATGCAATGTCAGGCCAGAGTTTAGTCACACGGGCATCAACCAAATAAGCATCGTCATGCATAGAGAGAACAAAAGACTTCTGTTGACATTTCAGGAGATGATATTATAAAGAAACATGTGAACAAGTCATGATCATACTTTCATTGACATGAAAAAAGGGTTACGGTCATTTAAAGTGCCTCCTCCTGCATAGAGGCGTTGAACATTTAAGTGAGTTATCTAATTTTCTATTTAGAGGCAACAAATAAGCTATCTTATATATTCAGACATGTTTGACTTTCTAACAATCGATGCTTCTTTGAGTGATATCAAAAGACAAGCTCTATCAATTCTATGAAAGAAACCTCTTGTCAGTTCTTCGCTTCAATTCAGATTATTAAAACATAAAGTCAAGGACAACTGCATTTTGAAAGATCAACTACATGTTACGTCAGTATATAGATTTAATTCATAATTGAAAATACTCAAATGTATATATCACAATATCACAAACAATGCCACCTTTTCCAAACACAGAAAAGAATAAATGTCTTCTTTGTCTCCATAGATAAAGAATTGGTGGTATCTATCATTCGTTTATTTATCAGAAGGAATATGCTTCTATTTTTCTTGTTCATCCCAAGTAATGTAAAGCATTATTCTTATATTAGCTTAATCATAAGTTTCATCAAGGTAAAAGATTTATGAGCCGCATATTCTTTCTGATTACTAATAGTCGTCCCTTTAAAACTGATTTAGTTCTGTTCCAAAATATATCATTCAGCTCTTCAGTAATTTGTGATTCATTTGGTAAAGCACAGCTAATTCAATTACTTGATGCTCCCCATCTACTAACAGAACATATCCTTGAAATAAAAGAAGATAAGGATGTGCCACACATAGATTGAAGAACAAAGGTTTGAAAAGATCAATTGTGCTCAGAAAAAATTCAAGGGTTTAATTAAAAAAGTACAATGTTTTCAATGAAATCATAAAGTAATTCCTTGGGATGGTTGGCACATTGGACACCACAGGTTATCTATACCAAGTCCAATTCTACACTGTGGGCCAAATGACCTTTTCTATTCAACTCATGTTTTGAAATCTTATCCTTATGACCTGTAGATTGTATAATACTTAAAATGAGCCGCCCACTTACACAATGGATTTGAAGTCAATAGAATTTGTATCTGGAAGTATTTACGCAGAAAAGTTCAACACGACTTAAAATGATGAGATTCAATTATGGTGGATGTCAGTTCTAACGGACTGGGTTTAGCTACCGCTTACATGCTACAAGCTGCCAAAACCAAAACAGAGCAATAGCGGATATACTAGGAAAATGCTTATATGACAAACAAAAATATTGGAATTTGTAACTGGACTAGAACTGTCTCCAGATTTAGATCATAAATTCTCATTTCCCGCCCCAGCCTGTTCAGTACCTAAACTATATCTGTCTTATCAAAATGGCCAACTACTAATCTACTTCTAATCCCCTCATTGATCTCTCTGACACCCCCAAAATGCCTATTGTCGTTTAAGCATTGCCTCCTCACTGTTTCATCCATGTAAGAATCTCATCTTTCCAATAAATGTTGTGTTAAGATCTCGTTGCTATCTTTTGAAATCAAGTCAAGACGTTACAAATGAAAAGTTACAACTTCCAATACCAGTTTCATATATTTCTTTTTTTAGAATTGAACAAAAAAAAAACGCAGAATGGTTATCATACTAATATTGACATGCCAAAAGGAGAGACATAATAGAAAGGATATATTCCTAGATAACACTTTGTTTTAGGATACAAACCCTAAATAAAATTCTACAATTTCTTAAGAAGATAGCAACATTTCTTCTGAGAAGGACTAACATGTTCCAGAAGAACATGTGATTCAAGGATGTCCATACATATGTGTCTATATGTTAAGATTGATGTATTTTGATGATTAACAAACACGATGTACTCTGAAGGAATTGTGTTAAGAACCAGGTCCTTAATGCTGATGAATAATTAGCTGAAAGATGTGATTGTGTTGCGATATTTTAGGGAAAATATCTGTGTATATCTCCATTATTATTCATGCAATATATTCTTAGATAATCACAAGATCTTTCCAAATTTTTTGAGCTCTAAAAGGATTCAGTGTATGACCGAATTGGAGCTATTTTTTTGTAAGACACGATTTGAGAATCCTTCTCTGATTTGATTTGATTTGATTTCCTTACTTGATAGAATCTTCGAACTAAGTAGCTTCTTTTTTCATGTGCTTACTAATGTGTATTATATTATTTTTTTATTACTTATTTATTTTGATGACCATCGTGTCCGGTTTTCGTGCACCTTGACTAATTCCATCGATACGTATCACCTCCCTCCAACAATAGGTATCAGGCAACTCTGTCCCCCAAGGCTAGAACATATGGAAGAATAAATTTATTGTATACTACATTGTCGGAAATCATTCATTCACACAAATTGAGAGATTGAGCAACAGTTTGTCTTTTAGAGCTTTCAAGCAATTTGTCGTTCTTGAAAGTACGAAGACTGATCATCTGAGAGTGAAGAACCAGGCCGAAGACTCTGGTCCTTGTGTGGCTACTTCAATTCATTGAGTCCAGTCCTGGGTTCACTTGTAATAAGAATTTGAGTTGTAACCATCTACTTATTTGGAAGTACTGTCAGGTTGCAGGTTGTTTTGTTATGTGAAACATATTTGTTGTTCAAGTCAGTGTGACTTGAGGCAAGTATAGCAGTCAGGTAACGGTTAATATCAAGGTTTAGAGTTAATTCTTAGATTGCAAGGGTTTGTAATCTGAATTTTCGGCTCACTTTGTTTAGTGGAGTCGGCTAACAGTCGTGGTTTTTGCATCTTTTAAGGCTGGTGTTTTTCTGTGTTAAAAATTCTGTGTTTTTACTATTACACACTTTACTGTTTTTGTGTTCTAAACTGAATTCTCAAAGGACCAGATTCTACAGTCGAGTTAGGCAAATATTAAGAGCGATGAAAATTTGGTACAACCTAATTCACCCCCCACCCCCCTTGAGTTGTCAAGGTGCACCTAAACTAACACTATATATTGGTTATTTACTGGAATCTTGGCGAGTAAGAGCTAAAAAGAGAATACATTCACCAAATATTCCACTGTTTGAGTATTTCTTATAGTTCATGTGGAGTATGCTCTATCAAGTATCAGAGCCTCCTCGGGATGTGAAGGTCTGTCTACAGATTTATACAAAGAAAACAGATGCAAAAGGAGCAATAGCCACAACTCCGGAAACCACACCCTGAACAGCCCAAACTTAATCATTTTCTCCATCTCCTATAGATTCATAAAGTTGCATGGACAAAAGAAACAACGGTCTTGGGATCGGTATAAGTTACAAAGACCTTGGAGATCTAGGCATACATTTTACCATCTTTCACAGTGAAGCACACTGTAGTAAGATACTTGCTCCAGTAACTTGAGATATGTTAGAGTGGGTCCGAATCCTACATTGGTTGGGGAATGGACTGGTGGTTTGTTTATATGGGCTTGGAAAATCCTCTCCCTCATACTAACTTTTGGGGTTGAGTTAGGCCTACATGGTATCAGAGACAGGTTCATCCCTAGAGACAAGTCCATCCCTGTTTGGGTTCCCATTCCACGCTTCAATTAAAGCTGGGAGTGAAGGAGGGTGTTAGAGTGGGTAGTAATCCCACATTTGTTGGGGAATGGACTGGTGGTTTGTTGGACAATCCTCCCCTTATGCACCAACTTTTGGGGTTTAGTTTGGCTCAGGTGCCATGATATATAGATACAACACATAAGATATGCAGAAATTGTATTCCCTACTGGCTTAAAAAAGTTAGCTGCTAAAAAGAAGACGTACCTATAATTTATGCTTAAATTTTTGTCTCTGCATCCTTTATTTCCAAGAGTGGGGACTTTGAATTGATATTTCTTGTGAGCTTGTCTTCATCCACCTTGTCTTCTTTTGTTTTTCCCCACATAACAGCGTAAAAGCCAACAACAATTATAATTGACCCCATCAAGCTGTACTCAACAAAGGTGATGATTAGGTACATGCAAACAGTACTTTACAACACTCATGAGAGAGAGAAAAGAGTTCATAATAGAAACATTTTTTCAATTTGGACTGCCGCCAATTGACAGATTTGTAAGATTGTAAATGAAATATAAACATACCTTCCAAGGTAGAAAATATCTCCTAAGAAGATTATACCCAATGCAGCAGCAATTACGATTCCAAGAGGATGGAACATAGCAACAAAGAGGGGTCCCTTTCTACGAATGCACCAAAACATCACACTGACTTGAAATGCTGAGCCAAATATTCCCTAAGGAAAGCAAAATACACGTCAAATGTTTGAGATATGCTGAAGAATGCAACTGATATACCCCTCAATGCTGAGCAAATATAAAAAAACACATTCAGTGTTCTCTATTGACATTTGACAATACTCAAAACATTATAGCTTCCTTATAATTACTGATAAGCCCAGACTTCTTCTTAGTAAAACAAAGAGATGTGTTTAGTTGTGAATTTGTTGTTAAATTATTCATAGATAATAATAAAAAAAAAATTTGATAATTTGTTGGTATAACTTGAACAATTTCCTTCTTCTATTACTCTTATGTATTTTGTTGACATTCTAATTTATTGTTTATTTGGGAAGTTTGTTAAGAAAAAATTTATAGTAAAATTTTACTCCAAAAGGTAAAATTTGATGGTTAGCTATTTTTCAGAGTGGTCTATGGATAGTCTGTCTTATTGGTGAAATCTGGCCTCTCAACATAAATGGGTAAGTAATTTAAAAATATTACAAACTTTTGACATGTCAACCAAATATATAGCGAAGTACCAAAATTATTCTTTCAAATGAGTGGTGGTTAGAGTTCCACAATCTTTCATTTTCTCTATCCTTCTAAAAGAATGAACCTCTGTATCAAATGGGTCCAAATAAGTCATGTTATCAAAATTAAACTGCAGATGCTAGATCAAATAGTTTCCAAAAAGAAAAAGATATTATTTTTGAGATAGACTCAAATGGAAAATGTGTCCCATAAATGGAATTCAAGGGATTATTGAAGAGCAATGCATGAACGTAATTCAAAATATCATTAGCAATCTGGTATAGGAAGTAAATGAACTATTTCAATATGTACTTGTCTCTTCGCTTTTGGTGCTACACCCATGACAACATGGGTGTGGGTGTGGGATCCGTATCGGATATGGTCAATCAATTTTGGGTACTTTGATCAAAATTGATTGAGAAATTCAAGACAAATACAATGATTTCTGACATCAAAACAAAAGATAGGGTGAAATCATAATTTAGGCATATGTTTTTTCATCCTTAAAAGATATTTGTATTAAAAATCCGCAACCAAAAGGTGTTTTAAAGATATATACAGGTCAATATCATTGTTGAATGTGCAATGAACTCAAGAAGTCTATCATGACCTTTATATCATTTAAAATAGTCATGTTACACCAAACAAACAGTAAGGAGATGCATATGTACGTAATAATAATTAGAGATGCAAACTTGCTCTCAATTATCCGTGCATTCCTCTCCTTCCAAACAATCCACCTTTACTTAGGCATTTTTTTTTCTATTTTTAGTTATTTGAATTATTTTTAGTTGAATCCCAGTACGGCTGTACCCGTATCCATACTTGGATCCATACCCCTTAAAATTTAAAACATGAAGGATCCGCGCCCATGGCGGATACCCACACCCTAGTTCGAGCAACTTAGATATACTTTCCCCCTTACATTTTATATTGTGGTGCTTAACTGGTAGGCTGTTTAAGAAAGAAAAAGAAAAACTTCTGGTACATACCAAAAACTATGTTGCTTGGACTCTTCATAAATGTCAACCGATGCATGTCGGGTTCTTCAAAAGGAGTGTATTTTTGGAGAATTTGACACGGGTGGGGCATCGAAAATGAAGAGCCCGCGCAATGTAGACCAAAAGTGCCCTTAGAACATGTGGTCTTAAACATATCATGATATTTCTATGGTTATGAACATATCATTGAGGATAAAATGAAATGTTTAAAGCTAAAAGAATTTTCAAATATAGAAAGATGTCATGCTTCTTGGAACAAACAAAAAAAAAGAAAGAATGTCAGATAAAGGAACAGTTACATAGAGAAAAAATATATTCCAACCACAGTCAAGATTATTGTCCAATGTAGATTGTCAATTGAAAGTTGTGCTTGTTCAGAAGGCACATTACATCAAGACATTTTCACAGTACAAGCAATTTGTTGGCAAAAGATTTAGGTCCCCCCCCTCTTTCACTTTTAAGAAGATTCATGAAGAAAGAAACTTTTCAAAAGTTAGAAGTATTTATTTACTTATTGATCACTTAGCCAATATCTTCTTCTCCTCCCTTTCCTATCATTACATGTTAACTGACTGTCCAACACATACTTCCCGACCTGAACACTCTTGGAACACCCACTAAAATCAGTACATATCAGCCTCATTATGGACCAGCTTATCCCTCTCTATCTTTATTTTGTTTCTAACCTTAAGAGATTCATGCTTTAGAACAAACTCCGTGCTCTAGTGTAGTACCTAACCTGATCCCACCTTTGCATAACACTCTAACTGAGATTAAGTAAGAGCAGAAACATAGAAAAGTACCGTACCTTAGTTTGCAATTGATAAAGTCTAGGTCTAAATTCTAATACGATCAAATTGAGCTAAGTTAAGATTAGGGGATTGGGTGGAGGAAAATGTACAATTAGCTAGAATTTACGTCTGATACCAAGCAGGTGGAGACCTAGAATCAGGTTAAGTAATTCCATACAGAGCCAGGAGCCTTACAAATACTTCGTCCATGTATATCTTAGCATGGTCACAAACTCACTATACGAGCAAACAGAATATAAATGCACACAATTTACCTACTTACTGAGTATAGAACAGCAAACAATCTCGTACCAGGTTGTAGCAACCAAGCATTTAAGTTCCTGTCCATAAACAGAGAGACAATTGCTGATATAATGGATGCAAAGAAGCAGTAAAAGAAGACCACAATCAGCTCAACTGGATATTTCTGAAGGACGGAAGCCTGTAAAAAGAAAAATATATCAGTTGTAGTGCTGATTCTCAACTAATAAAAGAGTCACTTTCAAGGAGTTATTCTCACACCTGTACAATTAAATATAACGAAGACACTACACAATCCACTACAAGATATAGTCCTCCAATTATCCAGTCAGTTTCCTGGAAATGAAGATAATTTTGAGGCTTCGAAGAGGAAGTCAACAAAATTTGTGGTCCCTTGTAAAGAGTGGCGGTGAATGCTCCGGCAATTGAGACGATGGTTCCAATGGATTTAATCAGAGTACTTGTACTTCGACAATCTAATTTTTCCATCCTAAAACAAAGCAAAACAAAAGTGTATGTGTTACTTTTCCAGTCTCTTGTGATCAAAGAGACCATCATTATATTCTTTCTTATCCTTCCATGGTTCCTGAATTTCCCGAGAATCTCCCCATTACATTTTTTTTGTTCATGCGTGCTCTATAATTGGATAGAAATGAAGAATTCAATTGAATTTGAAAACAATTATACTAACGATTGAAACCAAAGAAACTGTGAAGAAACAGTCACACTACTAACTGCAACATTTGTAACATCAAAAACATAACTACACCAAGTAGAAAAAAACATATTACGAACAACTCCAGTTCAGAGGGAATCTGTTTTATGATATGCCTGAAATCGAATAAACTCGCTTACTTAATACTCCCTATGTTCCAATTTATATGATAATCTTCTCTCTTTAGGCAGTTCCAAATAGAATGACACATTTTTATATTTGAAAACTATTTAACTTAGACTTCTCACTTTACCCTTAATGATATACTAGCTATAAGAATGTCACATTACATTTACGAGTACCAAGCTCTAGGACTAATTAGTCAATCTTTCATAAACTCCATTCTACTCTAAAATCAACTAGAGCAAAAGTGAGAAGAGGGGCAAAAAAAAAAAACCTGAAAATGACGGCAAGTATGAAAGTAAAACCTGGGATGAGGTTGAGCATTGCTGAGGCAAACGAAGCAGAAGTATAATTAATCCCAGTATACCCAGTTAGCTGAGCTGAACAACTACAAAAACACGAAAAACTACTGATTCAATAAACAGTAAAAAAATTCACAAATAATCCAATTGAAAATGAGAAAATCACATACCCAAGAACACCCAGCAAGAAAAACCAACAAATGAGTGAGAAATTGAGTGGCGGACGAGTTGACCTACACAATCAAATAAGTAAATCAATTAAAGATGGTAACTTTTTTGTGGGTTTTTCGAATTGAAGCGAAAGGGTACCTGTAGAAGAAGAGAGAAGGGAGGAGAATAAGGGCTGCAAGAGTGTTGGAGTAGAAAACGAAGGTGAAATTGGTCATTCCGGCGGACATGGCTTTTTTGCCTACTATCATTAAACCCACTTGTGCGAATTGGGTTGAAGCCATTCCTATATATGGCAAAGCTACCTTCATCTCCATCGCCATTTTTGAGTGTCTTGTTTCTGAACTTGCGCTTCACCTGTAGAAAAAATCAGTTTCAAAGTTTGTTAGGATACTGAGGCCCCAAATGATTGGTATCTCTTTTTTCATCTTTGACGCATCTCTCAGCAGTAACAAATATCAGATAATCCTGTGTTCGTGTCCAAATGATTGGTATCTCTTTTTCTTTTCTTTTTTTAAATGTTGTCCTATCTCTCACTAGTAATAGATATCAGATAATCTGTGTTCATGTTCATCAACATTAAGATAAATGGAAAGAATTGGTTAGTGACCACTATACCTGAAATCTCATGATTTACAACTATTTTATTGACCACTAGATCACAGCTTTTCGATGTTGATATCTCCTTGCATTTGCTATTTTCCTTCATTTATTTAGTAGTATGGTTTGAAACTTGAGAGATAATGGGTCAATTTCTTTATGTTTTTTAGCTTAAATATGAGGTTTTTATTTGCCATAAGATTTGAATTTATAACTCATCTCATCCACGCATCACATTTTGTGTTTTTTATCACAGGACCAAAGCCTTGGGTTGGTTTATAGTATAACTTTGAAAGAATGAACATGATTAAACCAAAATCTTTTTGCTACATTTGAGGTATGAAATCTTTTGTATAAAATTGCTCGTTTTATTCTTTAAATGAAATGATCTTTAATTTTTGTCCTTTAAGTAGGTTGGTCTATAATTTTTGCCCTTTAGGAATAAAATGTGTACTTTGTGGGACATAAGTTCTTTAGAAACTAAAGTTATGCCCGAACATCACCTATATATTATAACATGAAAATATAAACTTATGTTATACGAAAAATTATTTGTTACGACTTACGAGTGAATGAAGATTAAAAACCAGCACAAGATAGGAGCAAAATGAATATTCATAGAGATACAATGTAATTGTTCATAAACATTCCAACCCAAAAGAACTTTCAATAAGCCCACTAGCAAAGTGTTAGCCCTTAAAAAGATTTTGTCTCATATATTAACCTCAGGATCATCATCAATTTTGTCTTGTAAAAATGGCATCTTCTTGTTGTTTGATCCTAAGTTCTTCTCTTTCTTTTTCCATTCTTTACTTTGTCCCCATATCACTGAATAAAATCCAATCACAATGATGATTGATCCCACCAAACTACAAAAGAAAAAACAGAAAAAACGACTCAACAAATTATGTCACATCAATTACTGTATTTACTAATTCAAAATTCTGAATCCATGACTCGTCAAATATAACAAAACAAATATAAATAGAAAGTAAATGAAACCTTAAACATGTGTGATTTACCTTCCCACATGAATAATTTCACCCATAAATATGCTAGCAGCCATAGCAACAACAATGCCTAATGGATGAAACATGACAACAAAGAGAGGTCCTTTTTTCCTCACACACCATGCACCTATACTAACTTGGAATACATTTCCAAATAAACCCTGCATTATTTCAAGTATAACGCGTTATAAAAATCTTTAAAGATCAAATTCATCAAGTTTAAATCATGAATCTGCCTTTCAGATATATACTAAACTTATATATATCGACTTAGTTACCGAGTATATGATAGCCATTAATCTGCTGTGAGGGCTTAAACTCCAAGAATTCAAATCTCTTTCAACAATTAAAGAGAAAACAGCACATAATATTGTAACACAGCAGCTATAAAACAACATTAAAATCAGCTCTGCTGGATATTTCTTAAGGACAAATGCCTGCAAAACATGAAACAGAGGAAAACAGATCATGATTGATGAAAAATGATTTCCAATTTATGTGACACAGTTGGAATTTCGAGAATCAACCAAGTTTCTTTGACTGAAACAATGTAACAAATTGCGATTTTAGTACTTTTTACCTAATTTCCAAAAATATCATAATCAAAATTTAGAAGTTTGAATCTCGAAATTCCAACTATGTCACATCAATTGAGACAAAGACAGTAATTTGTTGACAATTGTAATTACCTGTGAAATGATAAAGAAAGAAGCAATTAGAGAGCAAATCATAGTGAGCAAACCTCCAATGGCCCAAGCAGAAGGGGTTGTTAATATTGTATTTAAAGGACTAATTCCAAAAACTTGAGGGCCTTTATATAAAGTTGCAACAAATGCACCTATTATTGATACCAAAGTCCCAATAGTTTTAGCCATTGTGCTCAAACTTTTGTACTCAAAAGTTTCCATCCTGATTAAATAAAAAATAAAAATAAAATTAGTGAACACAAAAGTTGAACATATATTTAGATACAAATTGAAAAGGTTACTCCCTTCTTTTCTTTTTAGTTGTCACGTTGTGTTTTTCGAAAGTTAATTTGATTGACTTTCCAAGCTATATCAAAGTATATTAAATTTTTTATTTTCAATAACGATATGAAAAGGATTATAAATTACAATTTTTTTTCATATCTATCACTATGATGAAAAAATACATGTTAAAATAGGAATAATACATAAAAATGTCTTTTAACTTAGCCTCGATGGGCATCTATGCACTCTAGCTTTGAATGTGCATAAGTAGACATTTAAGCTATCTAAAAGTAAAAACAAGTAGACACACACGTCCTATATGGCATAGCACACATAGGATGCCATGTAGGATGCAGAACTGCTACGTAGGACGCCACATAGGACGCGTCTATTTACTTGTTCAACTTTTGAATAGTGGCGGAGTTAGGATTTTTAATAAGGGGTTTCAAAATCTGAAGAACTAAACATGACACGAACTAACTGAAAAGGGTTCAACATCTACTATATATACATAAAAAATAATTTTAACCATGTATGAATAGTATATTTTCCGCCGAAGGTGGTTCGGATGAACCCCCTAACAGAAGGCTGGCTCCGCCCCTGCTTTTGAATAGTTTAAGTGTTTACTTGTGCGCACTCAAAGTTGAAGGGCATATATGTCAGTTGATGCCAAGTTAAAGGGCACATTTATGTTAGTCTAAATTCATATTTTCTGATTTTAAAAAAAGGAAACAGTAAGAAATAAAAAAGAACGGAATGAGTATTATATGTTAAAAGAAAGGTGATTTAAATTTAAACCTGAGAATGACTGCAAGAATGAAAGTGAATCCTGGAACTAGTTGCAATATTGCTGTGGAAAGTAATGGAGATGAATATTGAAGTCCAAGAAATCCAAGCACTTGCATCAAGAAACTATAAAATTGCACTGTTATTAGTCATTTTTTCTCTAAAATTGAATTGCTAAATAGAGCCACAAATTTACATTTACATACCCCATTATGCCAAGCAAGAAAAATCCATAGAGAAAAGTAGGCCAAAGAGGTGGAATAGCTGACCTGTATTTTCGGAAAAAAATATATACATAAAATATCTAGTTTTACAGAGAGACCACGAACTCACCTGCCACATATTTTGCATATGAATTCACTCATGTGCTCAAATGGTAAGCATGATTCACATCCAATTCTAAGATTGTGGATTCGAGTCATCAAAAAAATCAGAGTTTATATCACAAAAGGTCACTCAAGTATAAGAGTTTATCTAGCAGAGCCACTAAACTTTATTTTGTATCAATAAAATCACTCAACTTATGATTTTAGATTTTCTAAAATCACTCAACTAAATTTAGTGTGTATGAGTTTCAGTCACACACAATTGAAACACATATTAAAATTGGCTAAAATTTCATGCATGTGCGTCTGAATTATTTTGGTCAAGAAAATAATAATTTTATTTTTCAAATTTCAACATCCAAATCTACTCCAAATAAGCTCATAGTTGAAACATAAATTCCATATATCATGAAGAACACACTTCAATTCATAAATTTGTCAAAATAACAACAAACATATTTAAAATCATTTTAATTTTTTGAAGTTTTTTAAAATTATAAATTCAAATCTGAGACGATACGTTAAAAACATAAATTATATTTTTTTATTAACGTATACTTACAAATCAAATCAATTATAATCAGTGTTTCTTCCGTCACTCAAATCAAATCAAATCAAATCATTAATCAATTTACATACCTATGAAGGAAGAAGGAAAGTGGAATAAGAAGTAGAGTTGAAAAAGCACTTGAGTAAAAAGTATAAGTGAAACTAGTCATCCCAGTTGACATAGCCACTTTAGCTACCACAGCTAATCCAACTTGTGCTAATTGCTGAACTATCATGGCTATAAATGGAACCACTCCACTCATTTTCATCTCTTGATATATGATGAATTTCCTCGTGAAATACTCTGGATCGAAAAAATTTAATCAGCTCTAATAAATTTTCAATTCGAAACTTGTTCAAATTGATTCCTTTCGATTTTCATATCGAAAATATATTTACAAAGTTATTCTAAAAACCAATGAACAGGTTTGAATTTGCTTTAATGTGAATTCAAATTAATGAGGTTCCTAGAAGTAATCAAATTGTATGGGAAGGAACATATATCGATATGTCACAATATTTTAATTGTCTATTTCTAGTGTATATTTATATATTCTTGATTTGTCTTTTTGTCATTATTAATCGAAATTAACGATGGATCTACGTGATATTTCAAATTTAATTTTATTATGACTACTTTCTTTATTTTACTTATTTCATACGTACCAGCATGCGTGGTATTCCCTTATTTTATTGAACATAGTGGGTAGGTGGTGTTTATCACTTGCACCAATATATTCATTTAAAATTATTGAGTTTTTAAATTATACAGACGTCCAATTGAAATAACAATTGGTTAAATAATATTTTACAGTCTACTGATCATAGTTACGCAGTGTTCCTAGAAGTTGTCATTATGCTCAGTTATTTCACAAGGTTATGATATACTATTTTGTTCCATTTTAGTTGTGATGCTTTTTTTACACGTTTCTCGAGAAAATTTACTAAAAATGTAACTTGATTAAATTATTTGTATTTACTTATTTATATCGATTTAATACAATATAAATTAAAACACTATTTTTACAACAACATACAATTATTCCTTTTCTGAAAATGAATTGATTATGTATTTATGCTGGTGGAAGATAACATTATGTATCTTATAAAATTAATCGAGATGCACACGAGCGAACTCGAACACCGCATTTATGCCTCATTTTGCAGCAGAGGGACATTATTTTCAGCAAGTGTTTCTAAGTTGTTCCCCTCATAGTATTTTTCTTGAGTTTTTCCCCACATCACACCATAAAACCCAATCACTGTGGTCACTGATCCCACCAAACTGCAAGAAATGTCTATATTAGTGTACACATATCATGTCTTAATGTTATTTGACTGAATACAAAAAAATTTAAAATGATAAAAAAGTCCTAGAATATATATAGTGATGTTAAACTTTTTGCAGCTTTAATAGTATATTATTAAGGATTAATTTTTTAAAATTTTGAAAAGAGGGAGTAATAAATTAAAATTAATGTCAAAAGTTACAGAATTCATGTATTAGTACAGCTGGTCCATATTATTTAGTCTTTTAACGTGTTTGTACACCTTTTAAAAAAGATATCCAAAAGTTTTAATTATAAAAATATTATATTTGCCTGAATCAAAAATAACATTTACCTCTATTAAACTTTTCACTTAATTAAACTTTATTAATTAGAGCAGTAAAAAGGAATTTGAAAAAACATAATAAATATTTCTTGTTTTTTCTAAAAAAAATATTAAAATATTTTAAAACAAATTTATTTTGTCAAAACGATGCATATTTAGGATTAAAAGAGAGAAGTATTGAAAACACTTCTGAACTTGGCATGAATAGTTAGTTTAGTCTCCAAACTATTGACAGCCTTAAAAACACCCATCTACTTGACTAGTTGATCTTAAATACACCCCGATCTGCCACATGGAATGACAAGTGGTCTGAAACTCTTGTAGGAGCGTGAGACTTTTAATAAAAAGCCGCAAGAAGTGTTGAAAACAACCCCAAACTTGGCGAGAATTTAGGGGTGTATTTCACCCATTTGGCAAGATCGGGAGTTTACTTATTTAAGTTCAATTAGTCAAGTAGAGGGATTTTTTTAATACTGTCAATAATTTAGATATGAAACTAATAATTCGCACCAAGTTTAAAGATATTTTCAATACTTTTCTCAAATTAAAAAGATTATTTATGATAATTAATAAGTAACAATACATACCTTCCTAAGTAGAAAACATCTCTAAAGCAAAAGGTACCAATGAGAAGAGCAAAAACAATGGCAAATGGTTTGAACATGGAAACAAAGAGAGGATCTGTCTTCTTGAGGCACCATGTTGTCATGCAACTCCTGAATGCTATACCAACTATACCCTGAATGAACAAATTATAATGTAAGTTAATTGTCTTAAATAAGTACAATGGATACTTTTGTCTATTGATATACCCTTCCTCTTCTTAGTGAAGGTCAAACATCAGACATTTTTATCTGAAGTTTGATATGACTTGCCAAGATCAACTTCAGATATTCTTTTATTGAAGTTCTGAACTTGATAAGGCCAAACTTTGGACATTTTTGCTTGAACTTGTGGTCTTGGCAAGACTTCAGATATATACTATGGCTTGTCAAGATTAACTTCATATATTATTGACTGAAATTGTAGACTTGACAAGGCCCGACTTTGGATATAGTTTTTATTGAAATTGTAACCTTGCTAAGACTTCAGATATGTAATGGCTTGCCAGCCAACTTCAGACATATTTCATTGATGTTTTGACCTTGACAAGGCCTAACTTCGAGCAATCTTTTACAAAAGTTATGGCCTTGACAAGACCAACTTCAGACTTTCTTTTTCTGAAATTGATTGCCTTGTTTGTTTTCTTGTAATTTTTATAATTATCCCCAATAATTTGTTTTAACATATCAAATAACAAAAAATTAAAAATATTTTGACAATTTTTCTCATAAATCAATACATGTACTTCAAATCAACCCAATTATTAGATGAATTGATTTAATATAAGTGAGTCATTAACACGTCCAATCATAAATAACATAGACAAGTTATATTTTCGTGAACTAATTTTACTATCTTATAGATTAGAGTTAGAAATAAAAGGAATGTGAGTTTGTTGTTAGTATTACCGAATAGAGAATAGCAATGAGACGAATATCTGGATATATCATCCAAGCATTTGGATTTCTCTCCACCAAAAGGGATATCAATGCAGATATGATGGTCACAAAGAAGCTATACAAACACACTATAATCATCTCTTCTTGGTATATCTTAAGAATTGAAGCCTAAAAAAACCAAAAATAAATTAATAAATAATCGTAGTCAATTAATCACACATACCCAAAAGTCATCGAAAGTCATTTTCTGATGTTTCATTGACAGAAAATACATTTTCAAAAATAAAGAGTTACTTTTGTCATACCAAACACATTCAAGTGTTTAGGCACTAATTGAGTATGTGAGTGTGTTTGGCACCATGTTCAATATTTTTCGAAAAATGACTTTAAAAAAAATCAGTGATCAAAAGTCATTTTCTGGTGTTTCGTTTGTAGAAAACACATTTTTAGAAGTACCAAACAATCAAATCTGACCTGAATAATGTACCATAGTGAAGCAGACATAGACTCACAAGCAAGTATAACTCCTCCAAGAATCCAATTTTGTTGAGATGAGAAAGTAGAAGTCAAGTGTTGGTTAATGATTGGAGGGCCCTTATAAAATGTCAAAACAAATGCACCTCCAATTAAAACAAAAGTGCCAAAGACTTTGGCATAGCTACTCCAACTTTTCCAATTGATCACTTCCATCCTATCAAGGGGCAATCAACATATCTAAATCACTTACTCGCATCAAATATTTATAATGAAACTTTACTATGATTTAAAATTATAAAATTAAAATAGAGAGAGTAACAATATAATTTAACATGAAAGTGAAAGATCATTTCCTCAAATGGTTGATTGGTTTTGTTTAATCCTTTATAAATTTACTTCTAATTTGATGTCATTTTTATAAAAAATCTTCATTCACATATAAAAAAAATATGAAAATAACAACACACAAAAAAATCTGAAAAAGATCATTTTTTTCCATTCAACATGATGAATGAAGAGATCATTTCCTATACATAAAATTTTTATTTATCACATTTGTTAGAAAAAAATAACTAAAAAGACAAGGAATTACTAAATTTGACAAAGCCAAGAGAATATATAAATATATAGGTACCTGAAAGTAATGGCAAGGATGAAAGTAAATCCTGGAATAAGATTGAGCATTGCTGTGGCAAGTGTTGGAGAGCTATAACTTATACCAACATAATCACATATTTGCCCAAAATACCTAAGTAAACACATCAAACAAGAATTCTTCCATAAGAAAATTAATTCCTCTGTCCTAATTTATGTATTGTATAGTTTGACTCATCACGTAATCTAACATAGAATTTTAAAACTTGTAATCTGAAATAAGTCATGAATATTTATGTTACTATAAATTATTTTATTAAGGATAAAATGAGCGTTCTAAAGTTAAACTGTAGCAGAAGTGTATTCTTCTTTTTGGGATTGATGATTAAAAAAGAAAATAAGTCGTATAAAAGCAGTACAAAAATTTGAACTTAAATAGAGTTCTTTGATGTGTCAGTAAAGAAACTCTTACTAACAAGGGCTTTAGTGAAATAGTAAGTACTCCTTCATCTTTTAACTAGAGGTCTCGATTTCGAGTTCCTCTGGGTATGAAGTCGTCTTTGTTAGAAAACACTTTACCCCTCAATGTGAGATTTTTCGGCCCGAATCCAAATTTAATCAAGACTCTAATATAAAATATGAAGCACCGAATGGAAAACTGGAAAAAAAAAAACTTTGGTACTAATTTAATAATATAAAATAGAGTACTAATTACCCGATTAAAGCAAGCAACAAGATTCTCCAAAACACCGAGAAGGTCAATGGACGGCGCCGTGATCTACAAATTAACAGGAGTAAAATAATAAATTTATTATATTAATCATTATTATTTTTAATAGATGTATTAAATGAAAATTTGACAATTAAATAAAAACAAAGGAAATATTTTTATTGTTAAATATTCTCTTAATATGTACTATAAATAATTTATCAACAACTTAATAAGATACCTTTTTAAAATTCAAAATTCTAACTCACCTTTTAAGTAAAATGAAGATAAGACGATAAATTATCATCAGTATTTACAACTACTTCTGATTTATATACATTACTAAAAGATTGAATTCCAAACGATTAGATCAAACCTCGACAAGAAGGGGCCGAAGACTTGATAGGTATAGTGACTTAGATTCCATGAAGTATCGTCAGACTTACCACTAGTTGTGTAGGAACACTTAACAAAGATACCTTTTACTCCAAACACCAATTGATAGATCAAGAATTCAAGTAATTTCATGAAATAAATAAGGAAACACATCAATTGAGAAGAGTAA